TTTCAAATACCAATATCTTTCTCATTAGACTTCTGACCCGAGTGTTTCAAGTATAAAAACGTTCTGCTATGTGGTCCGCAACTTATCCTGGTATTATTTTAGGCGTAAAAACTAATAAAAAGATTCAGCAGCGCAAAAACTATATTCGAATGTGTCGGTAAAACAGATGACTTTAGCATCCTCTTAAACACATGGTTTAAGGTCGTCTTCTTTCGGACGGTACCAATAAGATAACTAGTTAATAATCTTTGAAATTAATGTATTCCAGTGGCTCTGTCGCACGGAACATTTAACGGTTTTTCAAATGGAATGTGCGTGCACGCATCACTGTGGTTCGATCATATGTGTGAGTTGGGCCCAAGCCAGAGGTCTCCTCCAGGAGGACAAGCCGCGCCTCGCCTCGCCTTGCCTCGCCTCGTCTCGTCTCACCGCGCCTCGCCTCGCCACGTCTCGCGTCATCGTGACCCGAAGGCTTCTTGTCTAGAAAAAAAGATGGAAAAAGGGAGGAGACATACCCAAAAGTATTTCATCGCTGCCGATGTATCCGTGCGCGAGGGAAAGAACTCGGATGTGTGCGGCTGACTTTCTCCGCGCTTCAAGCTCGAAGATGGTCAAACGAATCTCTGCATCGGCCGGTCCAGCTCACATTCTCGCCAAGTTATGAAGCTCGGCTCGTCGAAAAATTTACACTTACGCAAAACGGTATTTTAACACGACGCGCTATGCATTTCACTTAAATGAATAATATTAAATCGTTTTCGAAAAATAACGTTTAAAAATCGAGTCTGCGGTCGTCACATTCAAAACTTTTCAAGCCATTCTTCACATTTTCTCTCTGTCATCTGAATTGTATCTGAAATATTGGAAATTTTCTCAGATGCCATATCTTGAATTTCAATTAACGGCATAAATTTTTTAAAAGACATAAATACAAACGTTGTACCAAAAGTATATAAAAATAACATATAAAAACTTAAAAATTTGAACATCCAATTTATGGAGATATACATTTGGCATAAGCTGTGTTGCAATGTAATAAAAGAAACGAAAACACTTGAGTTATTTCTATATACTTTATTCTAAAAAATATTACTTTCTTCTCTCTCTCTCTCTCTCTCTCAGTTAGCATTATTCGCGACCTCCTCGCGACGAGGTACATAATATACAATCAGTCTCATGGAACTTTCACTTTGTTCTCGCGACTTTTTTTCTCCGCGTCTCGCACGGGAAACGCTTATTCTCCTTGCGCGTTGGGTCTCGCTGCTCTATCGCAGTCAAATGTCCCCCCCCCCACCCCGTTTACGATCAGCAGACAAATCTGAAAGTTCCACCATCCTTTGAATTATACATCTTTATTACGGCAACTTATATATAGCACCGCGAACTAAATCGCTAATCTGGACGGTACATCGAGCCGGGTGGCAGCCATGCGCACTCTTGGTGGTGGAACACTTTCCTCTCGTCGACGCCGGCGAGAGTGAACTCGTCCGAGGATCGAGGTCAGGTCAAGGCCCCCACGAAGTGAAGCCTTCGTACCTGAGAGTTCTTGCTCTCCTGTTGATTCTGCTTCTTCCCATGCCTCGTCCTACTACCGTTGCCTGTCCCGTCTGTTCGTTCATGCGCTGATTCTTCGCTACTTACGAAGCATTCAGAACCATCGAAACGAACCGTGGTAAAGGAAAAGAATACGTTTTTTTCTGCTACTTATGATGAAACTCGTTTCATCATTTATACCCGTCGATTCTTGGATTCATTAGAGCGCGCATCTTGTTCCCTCTTTTTTTTCTAGACACGATGCGAAAGATAAGTGAAACGCGCATGAAAGCACGTAATTTGGTGCAGTTATTATGTGTGTTGTACATATGTCGCTATGCGGGTTAGTAAAACCATAGTGTCGATCCGTCTTGCTTTCCTCCGTACCGTTGGAAGCGCGAAGTGGGATATGGGAGGGAAAGAGAGGAAAAAAAATAAGATTCGCACCTTACACGCGCTGGAAGGCACGCGTGAATGAACGAAACGAAAGTTCTCACCTTTCTTTCCCGCCTCTTCTTTCTCGTTTGCACTCGCGCGCGATCCCGTCGCTTTTTTGCCCCCTGGTGATTAGCTCCTCTCTCTATGGTCCGTTTAGAGTAAACGAGGTGAACTATTAAAAAGAGGAACGAAGCCGCGGAGATGAATGAACAGGAGTCGCTCGTTGAAATGATACACCCGTGATGCAAACAATACGGTAGGCGGCCGGGTGAATGGTTAATAACTACCGCTGTAATAACGGCGATACCGTAAATACGGGTGTATTCTCCGCGCACAGCTCTAATTTGTTTACTCGCCGAAGAAAGTAGCGATATAAGTACTTTCACGAGAATAATTTGGCGCTCAATGTAAACTCAGTTAGCGCTAATTCCCGCGTGTGGCCTACATAGAACGCTCGTCTAGTTCTCAATCTATTTTTACGTCGCAGCTCCGTAACTTACGTATACGCGATTCACTAGGAATACCGCGACGAGTACCGCGACAAATTGACATTCTTACCTCGAATACACGCAAACGCAGTATTAAAATATCTAGCGACGCATGTCGTAACCGGGGGGGGGGAGGGGTGGGAAATAAAGAAAAAGAAACGAAGGTCTCGGAATCCCAGTCCCATCGAGTCTTTTGGAATTCGAATACGGAAGAACCCTGCCGACACACGTATCAGGAACGGGACCATCTGGCCAGAGGTGCGTTCTTGAAAATCGACGAAACCTGCGAGAGACAGAGAGGTCGATTGACAAGAATACAGAGAGAGAGAGAGAGAGAACGCGGACTCGCGGAGTACCGGGGAGAAGCGGGGGATCGGATCTCGGACTTTTTCTCCGGTATGGTAGAGAGTGTTAGGCGCACCTTGAAAAGACTCAGCGCGGATGCTGACTGGCCCGATCGGCTCGGCCTGGTTTACTTCCCAAGTGTGTGTCCACCGACTGGTCCCCGCGTGTACATCTTACGTACACGCAGGGCTCTCGCGTGAGCGTGCACACGTACGTTTACACACTCGAATACGCACACGACGGCCGCCCGTGGACGGGACGAGAGCCTCGAACAAGTGCGTAAGGATGGATACGCGTTCGCGTGGACACGTCAGGTTTTATTCGTGCGATTCTCGTATGTAGGTGATGCCGCTCCTTCTCTCGGTCCCTCTACGTACCTACGTCCTATTCTGCTGCTCGCTATCCCGGCGGTCTTTCTTCGTTTTTCTCGAAGAAACCACCGGAGACCCGGAGACGTCAGTTGCTTACATCGAGATGCTAAAACCGTCATTCGCATAGGCAACTCATCGAGCGCTCGGTCTATGTCCATAAAAACCTTTCTCTATCTCGCGTGCTTGTCTCGCGGCGCTTTCCACCTCCGACGCTCGCCCACTCCCCCGCCATCCACCGCGTCTCCGCGCATTGAGATCTCTTACTTTCGATCGAGTCCCGAATCAACGGGCCACCAGTCGGTCAGGCTCCAGTTCTTTCGCACGCTTCATCCCCATCGTTTTCTCGCATCCATCTCGCTCGTGTTCCTTCCAGCGCATTTTCGCTCTCTCTCCCGCGCGTTGCTCTCTCTTCGCCGCTCTACGATTTTGGCGTATCTCGTCAACATCCGTTTCACCCGAATCTTAAGCATCTCGCAATCGGCGAATAGACGATGCCGGAATTCCGACGAGCGGCGCAGAAACATACGATTAAACGCACCTAACACGCGGTAAGATTTCGAGACAACCAGTCACGCATGTGCAAATTTCATTCAAGGAATGCAAGAATTCATTGATAGGAAGTGAAATGAGGCAACAAAACGGGTATATTAAACGGGGTATACAGTTGTATTCGATTATTGTAGTCTTAATTTATTTTGCGTATTTATAAATATACATATTATATGACAGCGAGCGTATCGCAGTTACGCGTAAAGCAATAAATACCGAGGATGATTCGTGCATGAGTGGCCTCGTACATGCGATGACCTAGAGTGAACACAACTGGATAGGAAACAGTGAAAAGAGAGATCAGACAGATGTGACAGTTTCGCCAACGGAATTGCGTAGAGAATTATTCGTAGGATGGAAATAAATTAAAATTGCGCGAAAACAAGGGGGGAGGGGAATTTCGCGAGAGAGAAAACATTCGATTCAAGAGATGCTATGATTAGGTTTATAAATTTTTTTTCCTAGGTTGACGATGGTTTGTATGCAGAGTAGGCGATTTCGTGTCCCGACCTCGCCCATCCGCCCGATCCATGTCCGCCTCCTCCAACTTGAACGACCTCGTGTCCGTGATCGTGACCGCCGGACACAAGTTTCTTTAATCCAATGATCGAAGCGAGTACGAGCGCAAGTTTGCTCACTATCAGCGCCTTGCCAGCCAATAGCGCGAGAGCGCCGAGCGCCAGGGGTACTAAAGTACCACCAATTAACAGAGGAATAGCGAGGAGACCACTCAATTTATTCTTCTTCTTACGGCCTAGAGAAGAGAATGCGATTACAATCTGACGGTGGTGGACTCTACGTATGTTTAACGAACGATAAAATTATGGAATTTTAATAGATAATTAAATTAAATTTAAACTCAAATTAAAATTTCATCGTAATAAAGATTTAAATTGCAATTATATTCAACGGATATCTGTCGTAAATTGTGCACAAGGATATCTAATTAACATCAAATTAATTAAACTTTTCGTATTTTACTATTAATAAATCACGTTCGTCGGAACAATTTCATTAACGGTGTTTTCCTACCTTCTTCCGTGAGACTACGTTGAAGCTCCTCTACGTTTGGCAGCTTCAGCTTCAGAGTGTGGCTTTGAAAAAATTTTGCGACCTTATCGAAAATCATGCCATTAAGAGCGTCCTCTTTATCGTCCAATGCGCGGGGTAAACTAGCTTCGATTTCCTGCAGAGATTTCTCCGGTTCGGATTCGTTAGCGGCCGATTCATCTTGAACCAGAGTGACACCATCAGCCAGATTCAACTGGACGCTCCGAGAAACCCTGTCTATGGCCGATAAGAGCTTCAGCTTCAGACAAGGACTCACTTCCGTGCCGGTACATTCTTTGTATACTTGGTAGACGGAGCGCAGGTCGCCAAATATGCCATTGCTACTTGATCTTGCGGTCTGTGGCTCGTTGATTGAGTTAGACGTGGGATTAGTTTCGGCCGATCTAGCGGAGACCGCTGTCAATAACACAGCCAGGCATACGTAATGGTGCGCGAACCGTTTCATCTTTTAAAGTGAAGAGAACTCTGTGAAGACAAATCAATTCCACATTTACTTTAATAACAAATGATTGGTACACCAATAATCTGACGGATAATTCAATAATATGGAATCGAGGCGACTCTAACACCGACAGCGTGAAAAAAAATGAAGCAATTACTTAATTCTGTGTACGCATGCGCGTAAGCCCAAGTAGCTTTTTAACCATTTTGAATTCTAGCCCGTAAGAGAATTGTTATTTATACTACATATTGACTGTGATGTTAAATTGAAGCCGATTGAAATGGATGAGGTGTAGCGAACGTAGAGAAATATTATTTCCTTAAACTTAAAGCTTGTGTCACATAATATATCTTAAAACATGATTTCTATCCAAAGAAGCGTGATATTCTTGGAACAATCCAATCACTCTTTCGCGTTATCTATCTGACTCGGCTAGGATACATTAAAAAAGAGAAGCGCTTCGTTTACGCTTCCCGTATATATGCCACAGGTCTATGAGACTCCAACACTTAACGCGATCGAAGGCTCGAATAAAGCCGCGCGCGTTCCAATCAAGCACTGTACCTTTCACACGGCTCGATACGAAAACCAAACGCCTTGTCCTTCAGGTTTATCCCTCGGCTAACCGGTTACGTCCACGCGGCTACGGACTTCTGGTTAATTTAACGCGATGCGTGCCACCACGAGATGCGTGTATACCTGAGAGCACTCTAAGTAGACTGTACGTAACGGAAGCCCTGCCCTAGCTCTATATATCTGGCCAGGTATACCTCCGTACCGAGCGATATTCTCCCCACCCGGTTAGCGTCGGTGTACACCACCATTGCGCGACTATTTTCATGCTCGGGCATTGATTTGAGAGCGGTTGCTTTTGCGATTAGACCAACCACCCGGGAGACGAGAGTAGAGAGCAGAATTCTACCGGTACGCGCGTCATGATCTCTCAAGCTCTCCCTCCGGATTTGCCTCCCACCAGCGGCCCGCTGGACGCATCCAACTGGAAGTGCGGTACACCACCACAGTTTTGCCCGAGAGCAGAGCTTTGCCGCCGTGCTCCCGTGCACGGGCCTTCTCTTCTTTTTCTTCCCCGTTGCCCTCCGCACCGCTCGCGCGCGCGCGTTGGTACCGCGCCGGTTTAATTCGACCGGTCTAACCGCATTTCGTCCGTATCATTATTCCGTTGTCCCTCTTGTGCGTGGGCGGCGCCGCTATACCCACGCATCGGCTGCCAGTCGACGCGGTTCGACGCACCCGCTGTTGTACCTCGGCTCTAAATTCTCGCCGACACTCGAGTTCACCTCGCGGTGGCATAAGAGCATAAGGTTGAAAATGAAAGGTGCACCGCGGAATGACCCGCCGCTCGAAAACGCGAGATACGTCAGCTGCTGGGGCGACGAGATAGCGCACCGCAGACGTACGACAGAAAGCATCTCGAGCGACGTTCACGGTCATTGATATGTTTGATAAGCAGGAAGCGCAATAAAATATTAAGTGTGTTATTGGCACGGGGCGCTGCATGCCCATAGATTATTCTCTCCCGTTTACGATACTATAAAATCGTTCGTTAAACCGAGGCGGCGATGGTAACTTTTAGGAATCCGTTGCACCGACCGTTTCTTTCTAGGCTGTCTTAATTATTTACGGTGAAACTTCATTAGACAGTGTCGGATTACTAAATTTCAGGCGTGCTCCCGGGAACACGAAGACGTCCGGCGAAAAACTGTTTTCAGTGCCGCTCGAGACAAGCTTCAAGTTTTACCACGCTATCGATACAAAACTATACTATATCGTCACATGTGTACGACGGGATATAACTGCAGTTCTCGTTACTTCTCAAGCATTGGACGCACAGTTATACTGCCAGCATGGTGACTCTTTGGCTGAGCTATTAAATCAAGGTGACAATATGTTCCACTTTTCAATGGAAGGATCGAACAAACGTTTCCCTTTGCGCGCCAATATAATCGTGTCATCGAAAAAGAGAAACGATGAATCGGCGAATTAACGTATACCGTTACGCGCGTTAGGCACAATTTCTTCATCCGATTAATCATCTAATTTGCACGATGCTCCATCCTTCCACTTGGTCCCCCGTATCCTTGACTTTTCATCCTGTCCAATTCGATATACGCCAGTGGACACGGCTTTAACTGGGTCATACCAAGTGAAAACGCTTTGCACGTAGATACACTTAGGCCACGAGCGTTTCCACGGGGAAAGAAACGAAACGGAGACCACCGTCACGTGAAGAAAGAAAGAAAAAAAGCGAAATAACTTGTAGCGTCTGGCGTGGAATTATCATTATGGAATGTATATAGCGCGCTTGGCGTATCGTCGTCCCATCCCCTTCGCCTTCGTTAACACGGCGCTGGAACTGCCAGTGCGTGACGTTTTCATTGAATCGCACGCTATTGAAGAAAGCTCCGCGACCAGGTAACGGATGCAGAGGAAAGAGACGTTTCTTCTTCTCGTTCTCTCCCCGCCGCGCCGCCTCGTCGTCGTCGTCGCCGCCGTCGTCATCGTCGTCGAGTCCACGCCGAGTCCACGCAACTGCGACGATGCTGCCGGAACTTACCTGCATAATGTCGCGTTACCGATTTCTCATACGCGTACGTGCCGTGAAAATGATCCCCCGACGGCGTGGCGAAAGCGACGGATCTTGTAGGACGCCATGATGAGAGGCGAGATAATAAATCGCGCGCCCGGGCCTCCGCCGTTTCCGGCTCGCGGAGCCGAGAACCACGTCGGGCCGCGCGGTTCTGAATTCCATTTTGTACAAACCGTTTCGTCGTACGGTGATTTTCTCGAGCGGCCCGATACGCGTGGCTGCTCGGCCGATGAAACTGTCGTTATTGTACATCCTTTTTCTGCCTTAAGGCCACTCTGGTATAGCAATATGAAAGAGCAGCATTACCCGCGGTATGCAGGTTACCAGTTGTACCTGGCTGCGCGTGCGTCCGGTTTTGGAGGGCAATTACTGGGTTAAGTTAAGTATCGTGGATGTTTACTGTAATTATGACACATTGTCCCGCGGTAGCTATGCGCCGGTGGAAAGTCCAGGGAAATCTCAACCAAGATATTTGCAGACTCTTCAATTATCGTGCGGCTAATCCTTGTGAAACTAATGAGAGGTTGAATTGGCGGCATTTATATCACGGTAGAACGAACACTTCTGACGTCAAAGCAGTTCACGAGCTTTATTTTATACGGATATTGATGTAGTTTTCTTGCAGAAATAAGTTGCATTCTAGGTAAAGATTAATTCTCTAAGGGCCGGCTGTCCGAACCTTTTGGTTATTTAACTAATGGTTAAATCATATATAGGTCTTTGTCTTTCCCTCGAATTAGGCAAAGACATGTAATTGAACTATTAGTTATCTTACCAAGAGGTTGGTAAAAACTGACCCTCAATATTCGGTTTGAGGAAACTCTCCTTGTAGAAATCAATCGATGTGTGTGTAAAAATATGAAATAATATTGATCGATACGAAACGGGCAATAACAGCCGACGCAGTTGTTAGGTGATCACACAGTACGTAAATTTAATTTGCAGATAAACAAAATAATAAATGGATAGTAAGTCACTGACTTATTATCGGTGTATGATCACCTAACAACTGTGACGGCTCTCATCGCCCGTTTTGTGTCGATCAATTTAACGTGTTTTCCTACAGAGCCTATATTCTTTCTATTTTTTATATAAAATAATATACTTTGAAGGTATATTAATTTCTTCAAATTTTTTCGACCCAGGTGACTGCTTCAAATTTCTTCAGATATGTTTGCTAGTAATTGTAATAAAAAAATCAAAGGCTACGGAATGAAGAAAGAGAGAATGGGGGTGGGGGAGCAGCAAAATTGTAAAATATTTCTGTATATATCTTGAATCTACACCTTTAAATAAATCGCTCGCGAGCCTGAAAAAGAATTATACCGTTTGCATGCCGGTGCGATAGAGCGTCTATGCGCATTCTTCGACTACTTTCGCCCGCGCTCGTGAACTTTATCCTATTTTTGTTGTATCTATTTACGCGTGGAAAATGTGGTACAGCGGCGTATCCGGTATACGATCGTGCTACGGGTTCAATAGACCGTATTTCACGGCCTTACGTTACGCTTTACGGCTCCGAGTGCAAGTGCAGTGTTACGTATAAATAGAAGCACTCGGTCATGAACCACGATCACTCTTACGAGAGCCGCAGGACGCGACGCGCCGCGCAGGTGAACTTAACAACGAAGCTTTCTTCTTCGGGACAAGATGGAGGCGTGTCATTTGTCGTTTTTTTTATTACAAAAACAGGAGGTGTCATAATGGAAGCACGCAGTCAAACATCAAATAAATATTAATAATATAAGATACAACGAATAAATAACGAACTCACGTAAGTCTACGTATATAAAACAATGAGCATCTCCCAGAGGTACTGGTGACTGGCCGTGGGATAAATCGACCGTTATATAGGATAAGTTAAAAAAAAGAAAGAAAGAGGAAGTATAAGGAAAGAAAGAATCAGAGAGAATACGAGAGATCAGGCAAGCATATAGAAGAGATAGGCAGGCTCGAAGAGATTTTTAACTGAAGATGTAGCTGTAGGTAGCGGCTCACATTTTCCTGGAGCAGGAGATAGACTAGGTATTATACATAGCAGCGGCTCGGGTAAGAAAGGAAAAAGGAAGGAAATAACGAGGAAACGCGGCGAGTGAAGTAGGCGTGAGTGCAACGAAAGGGAAGAGAATCGTCAGAAGAAAACAGAGGAGAAGCGAAAGGCAGGAGGGAAACTTTCTATGGTACGATTAAGCTTGTGGTTGGGGTTGGTGGGCACGATAGGCAATGTCATGGGCGTCTTGCGGCAAACTTCTGGCCCAGCCATGTCCGCTGCTGCCGTAACCGCCGCCGAAGTCACCGCCGCCGCCGCCGCCGCCGCCGCCGCCGCCGTAACCACCGTGGTCTTCGTGACTAATATGGCTACTGCTGTGATGCGGATGCGAGACTACCTCGTAGGTCACGTGTTTCTGGTGAGAACCGAGGAGCTTCTTCAGTCCAATGATGGCCGAGATGACGAGGGCGATCTTGCCCACGAGCAGAGCCTTGCCGGCAATCATGGCGATCGCGCCGAGCGCTAGCGGCAATAGAGCGGCCGCTTTCAGGGCCATGGCCATCATCAGCGGCCCTAAGATCTTCTGCGCTTTCTCTGCAATGCACCAAACGTTCGCGCGTTGATTTTATGTCAAAACAAACGATAAATCGTCACTCTCGCGCTTTTATCAATATTACTTTTACATTGCTTCTTAACCTGATTTTTGTTGTGCGTACAAATGTGATTTGAAATATTTGTCTTAGTTATTTACCCTGTGCCTTAATGAACGCTTAAAAATATATTTCCGATTTGTCAAAAATCGTCCTTTTTATATGTCCGTAGAATTTTTTATTATAATATTAATCAGTTGAAAGGAATCTGCCGAGACACCTGATTTGTGTAAAATGAAGATTGGTGTACATCGCTAACCGGAATGTAAGCGTACGAACCGCGAAGTTTAATACCATCATTACTCTCTTTTCACACTTCTGTGGAGAACAGGAATCTGAGTACATCGTCAGGTGTAGTATAGTAGGTATATTGAGAGCGTACGATTTTCGCTCTATGATGCCAATTATCCTATTATGCGAGCTGCTATCAAAAGGTGTGCACATCTGTTTTCACGGAACGAATAGAAAATAACGAATAATGTGTGAGGAATCCGCAATCTCTTCGCTTCTGCATTTAGCGATATGAGAATTGCCCAGTTATCAACCACAAATTTAGAAACTCCGAATCGAGTGAAATATAGAGTTAATAGGACAAAAAAATATACAATACGTGTACAAACTTTGCAAAAACAGAAATGTCATAATATGAACGATT